AGACAAAATTTTTAGTAGGTCCTGTAGCGATAGGACAAAGGGTAATGGTTTTAAACTGAAAGGGTAGATTTAGACTAGATACAAGGAAGAAATTTTTTACACAGAGGGTGGTGAAACACTGCAACAGGTTGCCCAGAGAAGTGGTAGATGCCCCATCCCTGGAAACATTCAAGGTCAGATTGGATGGGACTCTAAGCAACCTGATCTAGTTGAAGATGTCCCTGCTCACTGCAGGGGAGTTGAACTAGATGACCTTTAAAGGTTCCTTCCAACCCAAACCATTCTATAATTCTATGATAGTCAGGGTCCATGTAGCTTCAAAGCAGCCACAGCATGCATGGCTGGACAAAAGGGTTTGGGAGAGAATTTTCTAGTAGACATACCTGTAATATAGTTTGCATTATAAGTTAAGCAGACTCAGGAAACAAGTCTTTCTGAAACCAGGCATTGCTAGGTCCACTAGACATGAAGAATCAAATTTTTAATGAAGAGCAGAGGTTCTCATGCAGCCACACGTTTCTGGAATCTGCTTCTAGCATAAGACATCTGCTATCATGAGACATACTGCTCTATGAAGTGTATTTGAACTCCGATAAATGGAGCTACAGATCAAAAGAAATTCAAAGAGTATTCCCTAGCAAGTAATGAGGAAGACAAGCAGGATTTCTGGGAGGAGTAAGCAAGAGATTTTTGCATTCTCTAGATCTCCTTATAGGAGAAGGAATTTCGACTTTTTCTGATCTTCAATTTAACCTTAAATTTGTCTGAACAGATTTAAAGAAGTCAAACCTCATGAGTCATCAGACAGTTGGAATGAAGAAGCATTTGGAAACACCCAAAACTTTAAACTTGTCATCAAAACACGTTCCATTTGATTCCTTTTGTATATCAAATACTTCTTAATTTTTGTTCTCAAAACAGGAAGCCTCACAACTATATACTCAGTCAGTGCAACAGACTTTTTTGCTTTCTCCTGTTTTACTCTGTTCTAATAGGAGTAAAATATGCCTCCTTTTCCTGCACAGAGGAATCTCATTTGGGAAGAAAAATTCTGCTAATGTCTCAGCATGTTTTCAAATCACTACCAAGACTAGTTGAGGCAACACAGAGGCTAAATTATTCCTCTTCTTAGGGCAAACTTTTCTCAATGCACTCTGTGATCACCTGGCTTAGCTGGCATGGCTTATGGAATTCCAGGTCTTTGCCTTTTAAATCAGACACAGTGGCCTAAGTAATATCAACTTTGGCAGACCAATGGTCCCTTAAGCTTCAGGAGTAAAGACAGTTAGGGGATGTGAACAGCCATTTTTATCTAGTGAGGTGAAGTCATAGGAAATATCAGGCATGGTAAACTGTCATAAAAGAACACAGGTAGAAGGAAAAAAGGTTAGAGGGAGGAATGACCTTGAAAGTTCTTTAGGTACTTTCAAGATTTAGTGAAATTAAGATACAAACACTTTAGAAATTCATCCATCTATCCTTGTGCTTTAAGCAGCCTAAAATTTATTTCATAGAAGCTATAAGGCACACACATATCAACCAGAGAAGCAACTGTGACTAAATGCATATGAGAATCTGCTGCCTTACTCACTAACAAAACGTAAATGTGCATTACACTGCAAGAGCGGGAGGTCCAGTTTACACAAGCTGTTGCAATACTGGGACCTTCATTCCCTTGTTCTCAGACTGAAGAAAACAAGTAGAGGAAAATTAAATAGTTTCTCTTTTTCTTCCTTTTGTGCAAGTCAAACTTTGTTGTCTTCTAACTTGAGCAAACAAGCACTTCTGTGCATAGGCTTACAGATCAGAGAGGCAAAAAGCTGTCTGTTCTTACAATCCACTGCACAAAAGCAAGATTGCACATCTTCATGGAGACAGGCAACAGAGAAAAAGACCATGAACACATATGTACAAGCAACTTACCTCTGCTTTGACTGCCTTGCTTGTGTCTTCTGCCGCAGCTGCTGATCTGACTCCACTAGCAGACTGATTCACTGGCAGAAACCTGAGCCAATAAAAGGAAGTCAAAACACAATGAGCACTTCAGGGTAGCAGCCGTGAGTGTCATGAGTTGGCAGCATGTACTGTAGAGCGTGTTTAAGTGCTGATTTGGCAGTGCTTCAGAAGTGGGGAAATCTTTGTGATGAAAAATATCTTCTGGTTAAATTCACAAACCCAAAATGCACCATGGAGCAGAAGAGTTTAAGAACTACCTACAAATCAGTGGTTAGGATGTTTAGCTGGGATCTGGGTGTTCCATTTCCCTGAGGCTGTGGCAGACCTCGACCTGTCCTGTTGCCCAACCGAGGGGCTGCTCCAAATGTAATCTTTCAGGATGAAGAGGAGGAAGTGTTCAGCTTCTCTTAATATACTCTCTCAAGAACATTGTCTCTGCTATTGTTTTTCATTTAGTTTATGTTAACTTTAAGTTTAACATTATATTCAGACTCTTAAGTCTGTTTTTCAGTGAGCAGCACAACTCATGAAACCCATCTTATTCTACATTGGTCACTCAGAGTTGACATGGCTTCTGTGGGAACTCTCTGGTGCCAAAGAAGGCTTAAAGGTTCTTGTTTCTCCTAAGCCATTTTCATGAACTCTTAAAAAATAATGTGTTTGGAGACCTTTACCTAACTGCTGATTTTGTTGTCAGCCTGGGGGCTCAGTCCTCACTGAAATTGGCTCAGTGACCATGGGCAGAAGGACATGTTCTGTGTCCTTAGGCAGCTGGGCTACAAACAAAGTAGAATCCTCCTACATGAGGACCAGCCTTTTGAGCCAATTAGCTCATGAGTGGCTTCAGAAGAACTTGTATTTCATCATGGACTGATGAGCATTTAGAATACCAGATGAAAGGGATGAGTTCTTGGGAACACCGTTGTGAATAATACGATGCCTTTGGGTGGTGGGGGAAGGAAAGGAGTGAAATAAGAACAGGATGTCAGTGAAGCCACAGTAACAGTTCTGTTTTACGTACAAAGTAAAGAGCATTGGGATGGTGAAACAGGTAATATGGTAATTTTTCAGTGAAAAGCATTAGAACTTGGCTGCTCTGATGTCTCTAAGTGACAATAACTTTCATCAAACCATAAATTAATCACTCAGAAAAGCTTCTGCAACATGATGTCTAGTCCCTTCTCGTGTCCCAGGGTGGGATAAACAGTCTCTATGATGTTTCCAGTGCTGTTTGCCCAACCTGCTTTTACTGATTTTCCAGAAATTCAACACCCTGCCTCCTCTATGGTCTCCCAGGTTGCAAGACAGCTGTACAGCTGTAATCCCTTTCCTAGGTGAATTTAGGGGATGGTCTGGCTTCTTTCAAGTATATTGCTATTGCATTTCCCATTGTAAGTATTGAAAACTCATAAAGTAGGTCTCAAGTCCTCATGTGTTTCCCCTATAAGCAGTGAGTTAGTTGAAGGGCTGACTCTCTGGAGGGTATTTGTCCCCAGGAATTCATATTTGGTGTAAGGAATGTCCTTGTCTGGAGGGGAGCTGCTTTGTTTGGATCAAGCTCTACTTACATTCATGGAGCACGAGGAAACAGGATAGGCTTCAGCAGTGGGCTCAGGAAATGAAACAGGCCTGTTTGTCTGGGAAGGGAAAAGGACAGAAGTGGCACCAGCGATGGTTAATTTGTTCACCTAATGAAACATCTTGCAGAGTAAGACACTGACTCTTTGGTCATATAGTGTCACCAGTAACTGTCTTAGTGTAACAGCTTTACCTTCCCTGGTTGTCATCCCAGGCTTGGCCCATGTTAATATTTTATTCAAATGGAGAATGAGGGTGTCACACTGCAAGGAAACCCCTAAATTCACTGTATTTCTTCCCACAGTGAAGCTAATGGCATACCATTGTGAAGGCATAGTGACCCATAATGCTGTAACCTGACAACCATGGAGGCTACCCTTCAAGTGAGTGTTTTTGTGCAATAACTACCTATTTGAAATGACATTGTTGGAGCCAGAGTTCCCTTGTGAAATGAAATAGCATGTCAATTTCTTCAGCACTGTTTTCAAAACAGTCCTTTCCATTAATGGGTGAAGTGCTCTAAATACCCATGGGATGGAGATAATGGGTGTTTTCTAGTGATATTGGGGTACTTTTCATTTTCATTCACCCCAAAGAGGCTTCTTGGAACCATGATAAAGGTTAGAAAAGCACAGTTCTATGGTAACTGGTAGCTTCCGTGTGAAACAGAAGGAGATGTGAGGTTCTTGCAGGATTCAGAGTGTACCTTTGAACCAAAGTTACCCACTGAAATGCTGTCATTGCCAAGGTGAAATCAAGTCCTTTGACTCACCCTGGAAAGTTCATGTACACAGATCCTGAATGTGTTGTCAGCAGAGATTGAGTCTGCCAAGATTTCTCTATCTCAGGAGGCACCTTGAACCCAAGTTTCTCATCTTCCAGGTGCATGCTTGAACCACTAGACCTGCTGTTTTCTGCTGGGTCTACCTTCACTGTGTCCCTTGCTCTTCCTCATGAAAAGAGTGAGCAGCTGTTTCAAATGAAGACAAACCATCTCTTTTTCAGGAGTAAGTTTATTGTGTGAACTCAGTTTTTACTTTCTGGTCATCATCTCATCTAATAATAAAATTAATCAATACCATAACTGCTAGAATTAGTCTTGGCTTACACTACACCTTTCAAGAACTGCCAACCAAGCAAACAAATAATACCACGAAACTTCTTAAGGTCACTGACTATATCCACAGAGAGCAGGTTGCAAGAAAACCCTGTGTTCTACTAGCAAAGTACGGTTATTGCAGAATTAATTATCAATGAAAAAGTGATTCCTGAGCCCCAAGGTTACCAGAAAATATGAAGTGCACCATCAGGATGTAAAAGGTATTGCAGTGACACATGGTGCCAAAATAGCATCAGGAGGAACCCTTTCTCTGACTCCAACAGAAACAATATGATAAGAAGATTTTGTTAACACCCAGTGAAAGCAAGTGTCATTGAATGAGCCAGGTGTGGCTACTGGTTGTGGGTTAACGATAATTCTGCATCAGGTCAATAATTTCACTGTACACATGCAAAGGTGCATCCAATCCCCAGATGAAATCCAAATGCGTCCATTCAGGAATCTTCTTGTGATAGATGAGCCTCTTAATTTGAGACAGTAAAATGGATGCATCCTTGGGATCTGCGAGCAAGTCTTGTCCTCCAGTCCATACCGCAGTTGGTACAGTCATCTCTTCTACATTGTAGAGAGGAGGAGTTGCCTGAAAAACACGAAGCAGTATAGGAATGAATGACCAGGAAAGCACAGTAAACTTTACACATGCATTTGAGGCTTTCTTCTGTTACTGTTCAAAGTAGAGGTGCCTAAACCAAACAGGGGAGAAGTGTCCTTACTTGCCTTTTCTGCCTATGCTTGCAAGGATGACCCAGCTGACAACACAGCCAAAGGAAAAGTGCTTCCTGAGTTGACAAAGAGTTGCTGTTGGGTCTTTGACCTCTCAGCTAGGAATTCATAGCACAGAAGCTCAGAAAAAGACAAGATGTCAGTACGCCTGTAGATAAACCTCCAACTTGGTCCTTTTGGAGTACCAGTCATGTGACAAGAGTGAAAAGGAGCAGGATTTGACTTCTGTAGGAGGAGAAAGGAAGTAGTTTGGACTCCTGAGTTTGGAAAATAGAGGCCAGAGCAGGGACAGGAAACTGGCTTATACAACCATTAATAGTATGAAGAAAGAGCACAGGAAGTAATTATCCCATTATTTCTCATAACACAAAACCCAGAAGGCATCCAGTGACTTTCCAGGGGTAAGTAAATTCAGGACAAAGTGAAGGAAGTTGTGTTTCATGCAAGCTATCATTAAAACATGTAACTTCTAATGACAAGCTGTTGTAGAGACCTAGGGTAGAAGGGTCAAGGATGAGATTAGAGTCTTGGATGGAGGAGAGGTTCCTCAGGGGCTGCTTGAGGAAAGAGTCCTTTTGTCTCTGGCTGCCAGAATCTAGGGGGTAGATATTAGTCTTCTCTAGTTGCCCTCTACCTAGCATTGTTTCCCTGATCTCTCATGCACTGGCAACTGTGTCAATCATGCTAGTAGGCAAGATGCTTTGGTCTGATCCACTAGCTGTACTCTTCTTGTTCAAAATCCATTATCTATCTTTCCTTCTCTTACTTCCTCTTATTCCTATTAATAATTTAATTGAAAAGATTGGAGCTTCCTCTCTCTCTCTCTCTCTCATTATTGCCATTAGTGCTTGCGTGTTTTCTCTGTTGGCTTCCAAACTGGGAAATTGTAATACAGATAGTGGTGACTAAATCCATCTACTTATATTCTGAAAATGTGCCTCTTACTACAGCCTTGCTCTCTTCCTGTGTTTCTGTGTTTTCCAAGGGTGATAATACTGTTTCACCAAAATATACCTGTTGGTATTTTTCCATGTTCTTTGAACTGCCCCAGTCATAAGCTTGGAACTTCCCCGACTGGGCCTCCTAAGAGGATGAACAAGAGAAGGGTAGTTACAAAGTTGTCATTCAGGAAGTTTATGGGTTCTTTCCCTTCTAAGCCTCTGACTCCAACCTAGAGCCTGAAGTTCTAAGAGCTATGAAAGAGCCAACAGTAGATTAGATAAAAGTCTCAATGGTTGAAAAGGAGTCAAATGTTTTTATCAGAACCGAAAAAATCACTTCTCCTGCAGAAAGACCCAGGGCTGCTTTTGCGGGCAGTTTGTTCTAGTTTGTAAAATTGCTACTAACAACTGTCTCCAGCAAGTTCCTCTCACTGCTGCTGCCGTGCCCTCTTGTGACAGTCATGTTGCCATCACTCAGCTCTATGATTGGCTGCTTCATGTTTTCTCTTCCCTCTCCAGTTTGAATACAGACATCACTATTTCTAATTCTTGGCTTTGCCTATGGCGTGGGATGTTGCTACTGTGAGAGACACCATTAATGGGATCTTAATATTGAACGGAAGGTGTCTGTTATAACTATTAACTCATTTAATAGTTATAACAGCAATGACAACAAAGGTTTAATAGTATTAATCCTGCTTGTTTGTACCTGCCAGCCTGTGCTGAATTAAGCCTGAGGCAATTTGCAGAACTTCCCACACTGTGCCTTTGTAACTCTTTTTCTTTACAGGTCTAGGTCATGATTACAAAAGCAACTTAATAAAATCTAATATTGTATGTAAATTCACAGCCAAAATATTGTTTCACTTTGAGTAAACGCCTATGCAGTTGTCACTCAAACATATCCATGTTTGCTGTGTTGAAAAGTACATTAATGTTCTTGTAAGTTCACTGTGCCCACAACTACTCCCCGCTCTGCTCCAGAGCCTGCAGTGCTGCCAGGAAGCCTGTCTTGCATGCAGCAGCTTCTGTGACTGAGCCCAGACTTTATGAATCCTGAAAGTGTGAGCCCAAAGACAGAAAGGCAGCTTTTCTCAGCACAACTCCTGAGGATGTACTGTGACAGAGCACAGTACATTTAAGTAGCAATTCTACTAAATAAAGGGTTTTTTATTTATAGTTCTATTTCTGTCCAGACACCAAGAGCTCTGAAAGCAAGAGTTGAAAATACAAAGGTTTTTACTAGTAAAATTTGTCATTTTATAGAGCAGCCTATGTCTTGCTCATTTCATGACTCTACATTGGAAACTAATTTCTTAAGGTAAGCTCTATACAGAATTGTAGACATCATTTATAAAAGGTACTGAAGAGTGATATATAAATCTGCATACACAGCTTCCATACAAATACAGCATCTCATTGGTGGCTTCAAATGAACCTATATCACTATGGACCTCTCTATCCTGCTGGTAAAAGAAAGAACAAACAGTGTTTTGAATTGAGATTTCAATTGTAAACCACAGGTTACATGTGTTTCCAAAAAGTTAGCAATGGCTTCACAGCAGGATACAGCTATAGCCACTCTATACAATTCAGCCACAGGTAGGTACTATTTTATCTTCCAGAATTTTGCTAGTACCTGAGTCCAGTGGACTATATTCTGCACAGAAGTTCCGGAAGGATTTTGTGCAAGATACACATCCATTTGGTTCTGAAAGAAAATACTCAGTGAATATTCTCTTCCTCCCTTCTCTTCAGATGTACATCAAAACATTTGCCATAGCAGTGACATGTATCTATAAAACCAACAGAAACTGGAGTGGCATGATTAGAGACTTCCTCAGGGTTACTCCAGATGTGATGGTGTGTCAGGTTTGGAGTAACACCAAAAGAACAGCCCCCAACAAGAACATTTTACAGGATGATTGAAATGCAAAAGAATCTAACAGGTGAAAAGGACAGAATAGAAAGTCAACAATGTAGACCCCAAATTAGGAATTTTTTTTCAGGAGACTGCAACAGATCCTGTATGAGAGAGGATTGCTGCTGTCAGTCAGAACAGCAAAAGGAAATGCAGTTGCCTGAGAAATGCACGACTGGTTGAAATAAAACCCCTCATCCTGCAGTGGTTTCTTAAAAAGTTGCTGTGTGATCTTTCCTCAGAGAATGTGTTCTAAGGCATTTTTTGGAAAACACTGGAGCACAACTTTGATGCCCAGGTGGTCTGGTCTACAGCTGGACACAGCATAAGCTGCTCAAGTATGTCTTAAGCCCCAGTGTCAGCCAACTGTCTCTCAGGTACCCGGAGGTATCCTGTGCCTCTAAATACATCCTTGATGGCCCAAGGCATGGAGGAGAAGGAGAAGGGGGAACACTTGTGTTCCTGTCTCCATTGCAAGGAGCTCTTGTAAACATGAAGCAAGAAGGGGTTTTATTTCTTCTTCCATGGTGTGCCAGCATACTGAAGATCTCTGATGAGACCGGCAGTCACAGTATGAATCAGAAGACAACACCCTAGGTGAGGTCTGGCTGAGGGCAGACTGCAGAGTTTTGGGGGTCTCTGAGCAGCTGTTGATTGTAGGAATGACACTGAGTGCTCTTCTAGGAGCAAGGCGGTGATCCCCTACCAGTGAGGTAGGTACTGCTGTCTGGTAGTGGGGACTACTCCCTGCAATGTGATGCTGACTAACAGAAATTCAGGATTCACATCGTAGGATAAAAGATAAGTTTTGGGAGCAGAAGCTTAAATTCTTGGTAGAGCTGGTAAGAGTTATACATACCATGTCAATGTTTTCCAGGTTATAGCCACCCAGACTGAAGAAGACACTTCTACAAAGTCTGGCAAAAGATCGGTGGCTGCAGACAGGGACTATTAGCCGCTTTAGACACTTAGTCTGGGGAAGGAATTATTTTTTTCCAAGCAAACTCTGTGAAATACAAAGGTAACATTCATTTATGAATGTATGGTTCTGCATTGTGCTGTTGTTTTTAAAAGGTATTTGTGCCCTATTCTTATTCTCCACCACTTTCAGGGGTTCTTACTTGCTTTTTCTTCATTTGCCAGATGATGTTCCCATAAACAAGAAAGAAATTAGGTGATTTTCCATTGCATCAGCCTGCTCAAGCATTACTCAATTTGTGTTACATCACTTTTAATGAAGAGATATGTTAAATGTTAACTCAAATTCGTATTTTGGCTCTAAGCTTGCACATCAGTTGTGGCTTTGTCTAGAGGAATCTTGGAAACCTCTGAGCATCTGTACCTCTCTGTGTAATCTGTCCCAGTGTTGCACTGTTGCCCTAGATAAAGAGTTTTTCTTAATGTCCAGTTTGAACATACAAAGGTTTCAGTCATAAGGTAGAGCTACCCACATGCAAATGAGCAGACTCCATAAAGATCTGTACTTTCTGTTTACCCATTTGAAGAGCTGAACAAACAAGTATATGTTTAAACAATTGAAACCAAGATATCACATACCCTGAGCAATTTTTCAGGAAGGTAGAGGAGTTTTGTTATTGGGCTTCTAGCGTACTTAATAGTAGTGACAGGTGCCAGCGCAAAATTGACTTTGACTTTTTGAGCCAGGTCTGGCATTGTTGAAATTGCAATGAAAGCTGAGAAAACAAGAAAGAGGAGATAAGAAAATAATTATTTGTATATTAGACTCTTTTCAACATCTATCAATGCTATTCTGCAATTTCAAACCTACAAGCAACCTTGTTTGTTGTTCAGCCTAGATTTGTGTGAAATCCTCTTCTCCATGTGTTACCAGCTTGTAGTTTTAGTTCCCTCTTCAGAGAGAAATTTCCTTTTATATTTTGCCTTTGCAGCTTTCTTCCAAACCCATTTAAACATAAATGCACATTTCTGATGTACATACACGTATTTCATATTCTATTGGGAGGAGCAGTTGTTTTTCTTCCTGTCAATCCAATTTTGTATTTTCTTTTTTTGTGGGTATGTGCTGTTTAAACTGGCCAACTTCTCTTTCTGTACTCTCATCTTCCTATTTTATTTATTTTGGTCAACTAGTCAGCTGCTGTTGGGCACATTCTTGCATCCTGGAAAGAAAAAAATTGCATGGCCCACAATAATTTCAGTATAATTCTAAGTTGACAGACTTACAGCAGCAGTGCATTTGGCCCACTGTATTTTATTGTCTTTACAATAAATTAAAAATGCCTACATGCTGAAAACAGCTTATCCTGTATTTTTCAAACCTGCAAAGATTTAATGAAACCCCAGGTACATTCAGTATCTCAAATCACATTTTATTCCTGTTTTCCTGAAACATTAGTCTATTGTGTGCTACTTACCGATGGTAGTACCTTGCGAATGGCCAATATAGTACAATTTTCCTGTCCTGTTTTCTCCACAATGAAATTTATTGCTGCTGGAAGATCAAACTTTGCCATCTCATCAAAACTTCAGGCAGCAGATTGAGAGAGAGGCATGCATAAATTAAAAATCCATTTGAATTCACATTTTTATTACAGGCTTGTTAGCAAAGAAAAAACATGAAATACTTAGTGAATCATTCAGCTGTTTTAGGTTCTATGTTTTTCTGTCACTGGATATAGAATTTATTACTCAAGATTTTCTAGGGTATGTTCTCCCTTGACATCAACAGGAAGGGAAGAAGAATCACGTTGAATTGTAATGGTCTACACAGAAGGAAGAGGTAGTGATGTAGTAACTGAGCTCCTTCCATGGAATCACACATTTATACAATCTAGTGTTAAAGAAAAGGCCTATTTTAAAATTAGTTAAAGTGCAAAAATTACATACATTTTCTCCTCCTGTGATTTCTTGTGTTATTCTAATATACAGACTAGTGTTTCTAAATAGCCTCCAAAACTGCCTACGGAACTGAAGGGTGGCTTGGACATAACTTGTGCATGTTTCTCTGAGTTGCTCTGCTGCTATGCCTCTAGTTTGAAGATCCTTTCCTAGCAGTAATCAGAGAAAAGTAGTCTCGATCACTATTAAGGCCCACATGTGTGCATAGGAGCAACGGTGAATGTAAAGAATTGTTTTTAAAAGGTACGATATGTAAATCCCTGATATGTAAGGCTGGGCAATGGAGATGCCCTTCAATGGCTCAGTCTACCTGAAAGCCCAGAATTCATCTTGGTAAACAGAATAATTTTGATGTTTTCTGGACCAGTGATTCCCTCTGCTATTTCCCATCCAAACATCAAAGCCAGCATCAGCTAGTATGAAGCCCAAGCTGTTGTTGGGCAGGTTTGTGATCCAGTTACTAGCATCTCCAATAATCCATGTTGGAGAAGTACAACAGGTTTCAAAGCTGAAAAGAAACAAAACAAAAAAATTTACAAAATTTCTTTATTTTCTGATAGTTCAGGGACATTACTGCCGCATATTCAATGCTGGGATTTGTTCCTGCATCAGATTAAAGGAGACAACTAATGATATGAACAAAACATCCCTTCCTGTAAAGAGAGAAGTTTTTGTAAACTTCTGTGAGGATTTACAGAAAGATCTGCCTGACACCAGTGCAAACTAGCTTGGCACCCTCCAGTCATTGTTTGTATAGCTCTACCACATTAGCTTGAGATTCTCAACACTGATATATAGAATGAAGGTGTGGGATTGTTTGCAGAGGTTTCCTTTACCCAAAATATGAATCAGTGACTGATATTAACCAGGTGTAAGCAAAAGCAAAGCAAAGTTAAAAGCTGGACCAGCTTTCTCAAACAGGCTCATTGGGCAGATTACAACCTTTACTTTTTTTTTTTTTTTTTTTTTTTTTTTTTTACAATCTTCTATCAACCTTTATTATGAGGATATATGCTTCATATCATAGTGGATTTTTATAATAAATAGATGCACTTGACATAAATCTTGTTGATCTTGCAAGCTGTTCAGGGCAGCCAGAATTCTCTACTAAAATTTCAATTGTGTATGCAAGCTTTGATGGACATTTTTACAAATATAAGTTATCTCTTTCCAGAATGTGCCCTATCTAGGCTGTTTTTGTCTCATATTAAAGAACTGTACCTGGATTTCCCTGATTCTGTGTACCATAAGGGATTTCGTTAATGGTAATGATATAACCATCTTCTGTCATCACTTCGTACTCCTCACTGGGATACCCTTTGTAAGTAATAAGGTCATTCTAGAAGAGAAGGCACAAATACGTTTGCTTGCAGAAGTCCATTTCATATATGACATGCATAAGATGTTCTCTATGAATAAAGGTTAAGGAGCAGATACAACTGGGGATTTAGTCTACATATATTAAGCATCTGAATAAAGCAATATCAGATTGGATATTTGTAACCTTAAAACTACAACAAATTTCCTTCATTTTTTGTGTTCTATCCAGGATTTGACTATTCAAATAAATCTGTTATTAAAAAACCTGTATAATACTACTTTTGCCATACAATCAAAATCCCTTGCATTCTGGTGATATAAGAACCACTATAACCTCAAGCAGGAGCATATGATTCCCATAGCTGAGATGAGGAGCTGCCTGGGTGCACACTCCTGATCTGCTACAATGCCAAGTGAAACCAGTGTATTTAAACTACCTTCAGAGAAATCCAGAGAGCTTCACAGCTGCCCTTTTGTGAATGGCACATATGCAATGAGTATTACTGAAATATTGACTGCATTATGGAAAAAATAGGATCAGCCACTTTCATAGTCACAGGGGAAATCACTAGCACAGGCAGTCTTGAGCTCTGAAATAAATATTACTTTGAACCTGTAATATTCAACCTGTTCCGTTACAAAAGAGGATTGTTTTTTATAACTTGTATTCAGAGAACTACTCAATGTCATTTGTCATGAAGGAGAGAAGACCCAAGATTTTAACAAGTGACTAAGATCTAAACAAGATTGCTTGGGAAGAGGTGCTCTTCTGAAAAGCTGGTCTATGCTGGTCATTCAAAAAAAGGAGAAAACATAAGCCACTAGTTATTTAGAGTCGTCTTTGATGACAAAATGCTGACATTCCAGATGGTCGTTCTTTCAGATACAGGGATAGTGCCAGCGACAGCAAACTGGTAACTGATATTTGAAAGGAAATCTGGAGATTTATTAAGGAAAGGTGTTGCCTTAATTTCTATCAAACATAAGATGTGCTGTTACACATGCAGAAAGCAGAGAAGAGAAGGCAGTACTATATAGAGTGATTAGAGAGGATGGGTTAAATAAAGGCAGTTTATCTACCTTGTTATTTCCAACACCTAGAAACCCCTCTGCTCTAAGACCTTCCATCCCCAGGTCACTCTATCAAGCAACTTACAATATTCATAAATGCTTCGGGATCCACATCTCTCTTCATTCTCCTGAGTTCTTCTGCATAAGTAATTTCCTGAAACAAGTATGTCACAGCAACAAACCACCACATCTTCTCTCTAGATAAAACAGTATATTCATCTGTCAGGAGTCCTTCTCCGCACTTGTAATCCAGACAAGTTCTGTGCTTTTCTGATGGGGGAAATGCTATCTAATACTGAATGGAGCTAGTCTGGTACTCCCTACTTGTTTCTTAAATGGAATAAAGCTGACTTTAAACACATATCAGGGGGAGTTTGACAGCAATCTGGATTCTCTGCTAAGATTTCAACCAGGACATTGTTCTCAATCAGGGCAAAAGTATCAGTGAATCAAACAAGAGGAGCAAAGCTTTCAGAGAAATAGATTTCGCTTGTTCTGAGAAGCAAGTGACTTGTATTACCATACCATACATTTATTCTGTAGAGTAATTAGGAAACATTTCTGGTTAACTCTAGGGAACATGGGAATTATTGGGCAACTCATAATTTAATCAATCATTGTCACAGTGAAGTTTTCAAAGTGGAGACAACCAAGGTGTTGTACAGTTAACTGAAAAAAATGAGACAATTGAAAACAAACTAATTAAAATTTTATCATTTAATTAAGAACTTAGGAACCTACTTAAAGCATTTTTTAATAGTTGTCTAACATAATTTATACAAAGCTACTCAAGGGCAAAATTTATCCTCTCTGTAGGCTGAGGATGGAGAAAGGAAAAGAAAGCTTTGCTAAATGTACTGATATTATTCCCACACTTGGTGTTTTCCCATGCCTCTCCAGCTATCCCAGAGTTACCTAAATTCAGACTAGGTGAGTCATGCTACTGCTCTTTAGCCGAAACAAATCTTTCAAGAAATAGCCATCCTTTCACCTGTGCAAGTTACAAACAAAAAAATGTAAGAAAATATTTTTGCTATCAAATCACAAAGCAACTCCCAAGCCTAGGTTTGATATCATCTTTTGTATCTCTCACAAAGCCTTCACCAGTTTTGAGTCAGAGAGAAGTTAAAGCGTTACCAACCTTGTGCCAGAAATCATGTGTTTGACCGTGTGACTGAAATGACGGAAGAATGGAAACCTAATTCCCAGCTGTTTGGAAGCAGCGCTGGGTAAAGAAGGCAGCAAAACAATGGCCATGCACAGCTTTTTCTGCAACTGTGCCGCACCTTGACAATAAGCATCTATTTCTTTCCCATTCCTCATTCCTTCTGCTATCACTTCAGCTTCTCCCTAGGGTAGCACCAGAGAGAGGCAACTCCTTTTGTTCTCAAACCTCGTGCTTTTCATTTCCTTCACTACTGCAGCTATAACAAGGCTTTTCTTAATATCATAGATTGTTGGATTTTTAAGGAGAATGCCAGCCTCTGTGGAGTGGCAGAGCAGGATCAGGAATTTTGAAAACAAATATGTTTATAGATATACCTTATCACACCTAATGGAATTGTCAATAAACCTGCAATTTATCTTTTACTAACAACTTGCCAATTCCATCTTCTCATGTTTTGTGGAAAGGATGTAAGGAACTCTGACTCTTTGATGCTTCTTTAGATGTTATTGCACATATATTTATTTTTTTTTTATTCTTTTAATGCTCATGTTGCTGTTCCGTAATTCTACATTGCTGCAGGAGTGGTTTCAGGCGATTTTTCCTTTATTCATATTTTACCTCTAAAACGGTCATAGAATAAAATGGTTATTCTAGATATTCTATTCTATACTAGATGTATAGTTATGAAGTTAGAATGCTTTTCCATGATCTGTATGGATTTAAGAAATATTACCATAGTGGCCACTTGTCTCAGTGGTCTCACACATGCCAGTATCATCCAGCAGTAGAAATTAGTCAGTTTTGAGTAGATTGTTAGTGACTTTTTTTTTTTTTTCCCCACTTGCACATTCTGTATTTTTAAACGTTGAAAATAATTACTCTTTCTTGTTCAGTTCTCCACACTTGTTCCTCCAAATAAATTTTCATTGCAGACACCATTTGTCCACGCAGACCGGATTATCTTATACTCTGATATGAACATCTACCAAGGTTTTGAACAGGCTTTGGTACTTCTGTTTATATTATAGCTTCTATACTTCCTCCTTGCAATACTGGCTCTGGTTAGGACCAGACTAATTTAATATATTCTCAGAAGTTGTTTTCTTTAATATTTACAGACTAGAAAGAAATATGAAAGAAAATCTCAGGAGAAAACCTGTTCCTACAAGATTTGCTAGCAGGCCTTCAAAGAGAAATATAAAGGTCCAACTTGAGGTTCTGGCAAGGAAGTAGGAGACAAAATGATTTTCAAAGGGCTGGTTTAGAAAATGTTCTCAAACATTGAGCTACATGTGGATATTTTTTTTTAATCTTCTATTTATTTCCTTTCATATACTTCAACATCTTGCATCTTCCCTCTAAGAAAGCCAGGTTTTCTCCTTTTTTAAGTCACAATGTCTTTCAAAGCTCAACATGAATTCCACAAATGAACTGTTTAAATATATACTTGCTTTTGAGTACCTCATGCTATTTGAACTCATTAAGATGTGCTATTAACTCGCTTTCAACAAAGCCAGCTTCATTCTTTAGCATAAAGCAATGTTTCATTGACCAGAAAAAATCAATATTGAGTAAAAGGACAACACATAAATGGCATAATACTGTAAGTAGCAAACTAGTGGATAAATTCATCATTGCAAGTTATTGGCAGCATGTGTTTGAAGCAAGTATTTGAGATGGTGAAAGACCATTAAAAAGGACAAGTGTTAGGTTTTTTTAAACACAGACATGCATACTCTGTTGTAAGTTGACAGATTTCAGAAGTTACTTATACTCTAAAGAGGTGTAGAATTCAGTGGAAATGCCTCAAGGTTGAAATGTCATTGTCAGAGGTATGACTGCAGCTTCGTGAATGCAGTCATACACAAATGAACTTTAAAATGGTCAGCCTAGGTGCCCATGTATAAATAAGTGCCTCTGTACAAATTGTTGACTACATGCTTGGTTTATGAAACCTCAGCTCCTCCCAATGCTCTTTCTGGGTAAAAAACTACAGCAATGCACAGGATATAATCCCTTATGTTTTGGTGTTTTCTGGAAACTTTACTCTCCCCATTCCTTCCTTCTTCAGGAATTAGCCCTGGCTCTGAGAGTGACTTAAGAATGGAAGATATTCAGCAAGCAGCTGAATATAGCAGTTCTTCATGGATCAAATATGTCCTTTTGGCTTCTTCATCCAGCTGGTGTATGTGGTTATCAGAAACATTTGACTATTTTGTGTGTGTTAAGGAGGGCTTTTATAGGAAGGTATGCTTTACTAAGAGACAGACTTGTTTTTGTGTGAGCTGCCAGCCACTAGTCTCCAAGGGAACACACAGCAGCAAAAACAGAAGGAACCCCTCCATGCACTCATATGGCTCTAAAAATATTTCATGCCATAACGGTGTAAGCAGTTGCTTCTTGAGAGTGAGCAGAACACTGAGCAGGGTCTAACAGTGCAGTCTCCACTGCATCCCTGGGACAATACCTGGTTTCTGACAGCGTGGGTGCAACTCTTGCTCTCAGCCACCCCAGTCCACGCTATTGCCTTGGCTGCAGAACTGTTGGCTCCTAGCAGAGGCGTGTCTAGGGGGGTGAAGGCAGAGTTCCCCTGTCCAGCAATGGGCCCTGCACCTCCAAACAGCAGAGGAAGTCCTTCCAGTGGAGTCTACACACAAATGGACACAAGTGGAAAAGCATAAAATGTTGGTGAGTATGGATGCTGCTTGGGTAGAGAGAACGTCTCAGCTGTGTCAGGCCTGCAAAAATATTCCTGGTGCTCATCATCAAGGTCAACGGCATGTGCTCACCTGGAGGATTCCCAGTAACTAGGCTGAGCGGCACAGTATTCTTAAGTGATGAGTGGGGTAGCTCTGAGTTGGCATTTACATCATTATGAAGCTTTCATGTGACAAATATAAAGTAAGAAAGACGTGTCAAAAAGAAGGGCTCAGGAAGGACAGAGAGGGCTGCATGCCTGTCTCTTCTGCTCACACTGCTGACACCTTGTCCACAAATGTCCTGCACAGAGCCACCAAGATGATTAAGGGAGTGGAGCATCTCCCTTATGAGGAAAGGCTGAAGGAGCTGGGTCTCTTTAGCCTGGAGAAGAGGAGACTGAGGGGAGACCTCATTAATGTTTATAAATATGTTAAGGGCTAATGTCAGGAGGATGGAGCCAGGCTCTTCTCAGTGATGCCCAATGGTAGGACAAGGGGCAATGGGGGTGAGCTGGAACACAGGAGGTTCCGCTTAAACTTGAGAAGAAACTTCTTTACAGTGAGGGTGACAGAGCCCTGGAACAGGCTGCCCAGAGAGGTTGTGGAGTCTCCTTCTCTGGAGACATTCAAGAACTGCCCGGATGCCTTCCTGTGTAATCTCATTTAGGTTCCTGCTCCGGCAGGGGGTTGGACTAGATGATCTTTCGAGGTCCCTTCCAATCCCTGACATTCTGTGATTCTGTTATTCTGTCCCAGGCAGTGCTGCCCTCCTGCCCAAGCCTCTTGGAGCCTCAGTCACCTATAGAGGGGCAGCTCAGCACCCACCCTTCTGTCAACTTATCCAAAGGAAACACAAATTCTGAAATCAGAAATCATTTCCACAGTACTTTTTGGCTCATGCTGAAGTTTGTGAAATTTACGGAAAACAGGATTTCTTCACCTCTGAGAGTGGATGAAGTCTGTGTTGCAATTCATGAGCTTTGCATAACTTGTTCAAATGGTTTTGCCCCATAATCCACAAGTAATTATTTTTATGCTTCTGCTAATTTTATAATAATGTATACAACAATATTTTCCCACCTCCGTATGTATCACCTGTAATTAGAAAGAAAGGAATTCACATATCTGCATACACGTGTGGAAAGCTGAGTTAAGTACAGTTAATCTCTCTTGCATTTGTTGTTAAATGAAAGTCTCAAAATCCTGTGGCAGAAGAACTGGAACCTGTACGAGCACTAAGCAGGAGTTAGACTGAGT